CTGTTTGAAATGAAATATAACGGTAAAATTAAAAGAACTGTGGCTATTTAAGGGTACATACTAAATGGCCATTTAACAACCAGAAAATTGTGAGTTTTCTTGCACATTTTGGGAAAGGATACAAATTTTGGTGGAAACAATAATCTTGCTCATGAAGCCCTGGATGGGACTTCATCGTTCTTTTCTTGGCATTACCAGGGAGGGGGGGTTGGGGCAAACCAAAACTTCTTTAAAAATCATGCAGTTTTTCACCATTCAGAGCACTTTTTGGCCATTTTTGGGCCAAAGTTGTCAAAAGCTACGGGCTACTGAGCTGGCATTACAATCCATTACATACAACAAATAAACTAATAAAACCTGGACATCATCAGGGCTGGCGAACATGAGAATATTCCTGGTTAACCAAACCATCATATAATGATTAGATAACCACTAGGTCTCATTTTTATTAGCCTTATTTTAGTTGCACCAAGTTGCACTGATACCTCCTTACCTATCTGACCATAAAAGTTTACAAATTCGCTTCTATATTCTCTGCAGTATTCTTGTCTCTCTGGTGCTTTAAATCTGTACTTTACTTGTTGGATTGTTCTTATCATGATATCTGGATGTGTTACATGAATAATAAAAACGTTCCTTATTTATACCATATATATCTTTATGGGTCATCTTTCTACATCAAGGAGAAAGGCCAAGGAGCAAAGTACATGGCAGTTAAATCACAGTATCATGGTTTATTGGTTTAAAGCACAAAAATGGCTTTAAGCACAGTAATATGGCTTTAAGCACAGTGACATGGTTAAGACACAGAAGCATGCCTTTAAGCACAGTAACATGGTTAAGGCACTGTAAAATGCCATTAAACATGCCTTTAAACACAGTAACATAGCTTCAACCACAGTGACATGGTTAAAACACAGTAACATGGCTTTAAGCACAGTTATGAGGCACAGTAACATTGCTTTAAGCACAGTTATAAGGCACAGTAACATGGTTTTAAGCACAGTTATAAGGCACAGTAACATGGCTTTAAGCACAGTTATAAGGCACAGTAACATGGCTTTAAGCACAGTTATAAGGCACAGTAACATTGCTTTAAGCACAGTTATAAGGCACAGTAACATTGCTTTAAGCACAGTTATAAGGCACAGTAACATTGCTTTAAGCAAAGTTATAAGGCACAGTAACATGGCTTTAAGCACAATACCAATTACATACTGGTTTTAAACATTATGCTATCATAAATAGCTTTTGTTACCAGAATCTTCTCCTTTAATTATTATACAGCTAATAGGCATTATTCCATTCTCAAATGTATGAACTTCTGTATGTGTAATATTACATTATATTACAGTTGCCTGTTGGAGTAAATTGGGTCAATGGGGATTTAGCAAGATTTTATCATGATATTGTAATTTAACAAAAAGAAGAATTGTGAATTATATTTTTTCGAGTCAGAAACTGGGATTGACTAAAATTAAAGCTCTTGGGACATGAAGTTAAATATGCAAACCTTATATAAGCTCATAAAAATGATACGCAAATGAGATTTCAAAGCTATATTTAGCAAAAAGTCTAATGTGTAACTTTCAGCAAAAGCGCTTATTAACGTATACATAAAAATATTGGGTGAGACTTGAGATAATGTATGCGGCGCCAGTCAAAATTGAAACTTCTGATTGGGTTCGAAGCCGAGATGCCCGGGTATGTCCCAGCAAAAGCCGGAATTCACGTGATTTTTCACGAAGAAGGGGCGGAGTTTAAGCGAGATTCATCGAGACTTCTTCGTGTCAATCGTGTCAATCCCTGCATTGCTTATTGTTAACTCCACCTTTTTGCCCATATATGGAGTTGGAGATGCCACTTGCGAGCGTGAACAGTTCAGTCTAGAAATAGAAATTTCTTAAGCGATGTCTTTCTTCAATTTTTCTACACGATATCTCGATAAATAGTGGACATATTTGTACCATTCTTTCGTCAAAATGAGGGTATTGCTGGAATACATATTTCCAATCTGTTGGTCAATAGATTTATTCATTGATACTGGCAGGAATTAGATCGTAATAAACATGCTAAAATTGTAAAACTTGTTGATTTAATACAAATTTCTCCCTGGTTTTCCCAGACATAAGATGTTAAGAGTTCTATCAAATTATGTCACGATGAGAAATTATGAACTAACACAAAATATGTCAAAATATGGGGATTTTGCAAATAAGTCAAAATATGGGGATTTTGCAAATAAGTCAAAATATGGGGATTTTGCAAATAAGTCAAAATATGGGGATTTTGCAAATAAGTCAAAATATGGGGATTTTGTAAATAAGTCAAAATATGGGGATTTTGCAAATAAGTCAAAATATGTTGCCTTACAATTATATCGAAACAGCTTTAATGTGAAATATATTTGCACCATGAAGCCATTACATTTTCTTTCTTTTTTGAGGGTCAAAATTCCAACATTTTCAACATCATATGGGTCCAGATTTTATACTGCTGATATCATATCAAAACTTTTAGCAGTAAATCATAAAATGCTGTTTTTTCAAGAGATATTGATATTTTTATCAGCACCTCTAAGAGTGATTCTATAAATAGCATGATACCAGCCCTAGTTTAAAATAACATGGAAATCATTTTTCAAACCATGAAACATAGAGAAATGGCAAGGAACCAAGAACAAATGAAGTAATCTGTCATGTACAGTTCTGCAGTAAAGTCTAAATTTTTAAAATAAGTAAGAATGTTGAATTATGTGCTCATTGTAAGAGATACAGTTTGCAGAATTATGTTGATAAGCTTGTGATATTAAGAACAAGCGTATGCAGGATGCCAGCTTGATAAGTACAGTTCCAAGTTGTTTAGGTTCTCTGTACGCCTTGAATTCAATCTGTGTTACAAACATAGTGAGTGTGAACATTTTGGCATTACAAGAATTCTCATGGCTTATTCTAATGATCAAATCCTTCGATCTTTTATGATCCAAAATTGAAATGAATCCCCTTTTCGCAGATATTAACTGGGGTTAAATACTTCAATGAGGAAGTAAAGAACATAATAAGAGATAAAAATACCAGTTAAAATAAAAGACTATCCAGTTATGCTTAGAATTAGAAACAAGATGGTCAAAAATATACTGAAGACCAGTTTCAGCATATTTTCCTAGGATTTGATCTTCAAAATATCAGTGACTGAGTAACATGACAATACAGAGCAGGCCAGCCATTTATTTGACCCCTGACCTCTTAATGGAAATTGTCGATTTTTAGAAACTTAGTGAATTAACCATTCCAAGTGTTAGAGCCTTGTATATTTTCAAGAAGCAAAATAAAACAATTTGAAGAGATACTAGTTAAATCATGCCTCGGACCCCCCCCCCCCCTCCCCCTGCTCTAAAACCTCAATTTGCTAATGATGAAAGGTGAATGCAAAACAACTACTTTTAACAATTTTCAGAAGTTTACAGAGGTTGAATTTTGGATAGATGATTTTGTCAAATGGAATTTTTTTAATAACCCCCCCCCCCCCCCCCATGGCATCCTTAAGCACAATCTTCCCTTTTTATCTTTATACAAAACAATAAAACTAATGTATGTATGTATGGTTTATATATCTATGAAATCAGCATCTGGACTAAGGCAGCATAATATAAACCTACCATGATATAAATCTAAGAGAAAATTTAATTGAAGTCGATCATGTTTATAATTATGCAATACAGTGCAGTAGTTCACAGCAACACCTGTACATGTATATATAAACACCTCAAAATATGAACACTTGATTAAGTCCATTAAATCCCATATTGTCAGAACCTCTATATGTGAACACCTAAGCCATCATAATAGCAGTGAACTCACTTAGGTTTTACTAGGCAATAATAATGTGTTATGTATGTATAAATTTGAGGGGTTTCACTAAAATTCCCGAAAACAAGCAAGGCAAAATGAATGAAGACAAATGGTGAAATTATTGGAAATTATAATTTAAAATTAGAAAACAGTTGCAAAATTTGTCAAAACAAAAGAGAAAGTCGATGCAATTTTGGTAAAAATAAAAGAAATAATGGCTGCTTATGAAATCGGTGAATTCACAGATGATTTCCATTTCCCATCTTGAGAAAATCATCACAAAGTACACACAAAAATATGAAAGTATTTTTCAAATATCATGGTAAGCTATGTGTCTTTCATCTCTGTCCATCTGGATTCAATGTAAGAGTATCAGATTGGACTTCACATTCAAGTTCTTTAACTTAGATGATACCACTCTGTATAAACATGCTCTATCGTTCATAGTACCTGATTTTACCTCAATACATGGTACTTGTACACTTGTACTAGTACTGTATTAGTACCTTGTACTATTTCAGGACCTGGTAGTACCTAAGGACTTGGTGCTACCTCAGTACCTAGTGCTACTTCAATATAGGGTATTAGTACCTTGGACTACCTCAGTACCTAGTGCTACCTCAGTACCTAGTGCTACCCCAATACAATGGTATTAGTACCTTATACTACCCCAGTACCTAGTGCTTGTTCAATACATGGTACACTGTACTACCTCAGTACGTACCTAGTGCTACCTCAATATATAGTGTTACCTCAATACCTGGTGCTACCTCAGTAACACAATAAACTATATTAAGTCAGAAACATTAGTCATACAACTAAACAATTAAACATTGATAAATCAAGAATTTAAAGAAACACCTGGTGCATGGATGCATTTTTGTTATATCTAAATAAAAAGTCTGTATACCCTTGTTGTCCCAAAGCAAAGCTCCATACACCCCCCCCCCCATCATTCCTGATTCAATAACACTTTAATGCAACCCCCCCCCCCCCCCTCCCCCACCATTCCTGATTCAATAACACTTAAATGCAAAGTACCAAAACACCAGAAAAAAATTAATGTACAGTTTTGATTCAGATAAGTACCCACCTACCCACCTCCCTCTCTCTGCCAACCAGTATTTCAATTTGGGGTTCTAAACTCACCTCACGCTCATTGTCCCCGAATGCGATATTTAGAGTTCCCATGGCGCGTATAATGGCTACCAGAGACTGTATGGTATTGCTGTAGACGACAGGCTTATACTGTTTGTTGTCTTCTTGAGTGAAGCCTCCTTCATGGATAATCCTAAAAACAAATTATTAGTCAGTATAAACATACTATGCATAATCATTACCTGATTTCTTTTCGAGTTCATTACTGTGATACTCCGATATAACGCACATACACAATATTAAAAATTAAAATGTCTAGGATTGTGAGTTTGAAACCATGACTGATTTTATTGAGTACTGTTACAAAAGTGAGTGTAAATGTGTCCTATGTTATTCACATGAATTTTGTAATGAAATTTGTATCATGTTTTAATCTTTTCTGCCCCTCTTATGTACATTCATATTCTCTTTCCAAAATTATAAATAAATGATTATGTTCTGCGACTTTTCCTGTTGGTTGGTCACTTGGCTGGTTGTTTGGTCGATGCGTCAATTAAACGACTATTTTTTACACATTTACTTTGAATACAATAACTGGATCTCAAGTCTATTACAATGTTTGGATTTAGTTTTCCGATGAGTCAGCTGTGTTCTGGGGCCACATCTAGCAATGGTATGGCTTTGACCTAGCTTTTTGATAAAATGGTATAGTTGGTATGGCAATGCACACTATTGACTGGGAGATATTGGAACATCTTGATATTTGATGGTGCAAGCTAGGATACTTGTCAGGCCCGTAGCCAGGGTGGTTTGGGGGTTCGGGCGAACCCCCCCCCCCCCCTGGCCAAAATTTCTTTCAAAATCATGCAGTTTTTCACCATTCTGACTATTTTTTGGGTGATTTTTGGCCAAAGTGAACCCCCCCTAGAATTTTTGGGAAAAGTGGACCCCCACCCTTGGAAAATTCTGGCTACGTGCCTGCCTGTCAACTGTTAACTGTATATAAACCTCGATGGGGATCCTCAGCGCACATTGGGGTATATTTTTTAACATTTGATATGGCAATGAAACCCTTTGGGATCTGGTATGAGAATACCCCAAAATATATGACTTTTGAGATATGACAATGGTCAGACTTTCCTAATTTCTTTTCTCTGATACAATATGGAAACTTGGTATGGCATTGGTCCTATATTTAGACATTTGGTAGTAAATTGGTTTAGTGTGTTTTTACACTTGGTATGGGAACATACTGAAATCTTACATATTGGTATGGGAACACACTGATATCTGAGGGTTCAGCCTAGGACCCCCGCCAACGTTTGTATAGCGTGAACACACGAGGGCAGGGAGCCTAACCCGAGGCTGATCTAAAACAAATTTGAGAAACTGCAAAAAAAGAATTTGGCAACTTTAAATTTCATTCAAACCTCATATACACTATCAAAACATGTATTACTTAACGTTAAATCAACCCAACACTAATGTTATTACATTAGCATAACATTTAGCATCTCAACAATCTTCCTTGTCCACGAATATTCCTGAAAATTGAGATGTTTACAAACATTTTTTAGTTCCTAATTTCCTTTTAAAAATGGCCGCCAGTGGTTATGTCTAAATGTGCAACTCACTGTACACTTTGTAAACGAAAATGGCGGGAAAGCGGGACGCGAACCGAGGACGCGAATCCCCCAGTAATCACCACAAAGATCACGGTGAATAAAATACTTTAATTACACATTTAGCTAAAACATTCAAATTATTTATTTATTATGGATACTATCATGATCACAAACAATATGAAATCACTAGCTTTTTAACATCGGGTCGAACATTCCTGAAGCTCCGGGGGTTGAAAAGGTATTTTGACGTAAAACTTCACTTCAGTAGCATGGATGCAGAAAGACCAATATCCTTATTGAGTAAAATTACACAATGGACTCAACAAGATGGAGATATAAAGCTAGCCAGCATAGCAAAGAGTAATATTGATTCATCTACCTATATTACCGCAAGCTTGATAATTGATTCCACTGTAAGCTTTAGTATTGATCGGCAGATATAGGCCTAGAATAAAGTAATAACTCTAGAACGCGTGCTGCTGATGTTTTAACAAACGTCTACTACAAACACCGATTGTCAATTCTGAAGAAATATGAACAGTTTTAGAATGAACTAAATAGAGATGTATGCTAGATCAGTCCCGAGAATCAGACTCCTGACTGACTGACGGCCATGGTTCACTGCCGAGAAGAAAAACAAAACACTTGTAGTGCTGTCATAAACAATGGACCACCAAGACAAAGGAAACCAAGAGTCTCTGTCAGTTGATGTATGTGTAGTTCCTCGGGGGGGGGGGGTCACACTCTCTTGGCATTCACTACTGATTCATTACAATCCCGATCCCATCTATGAAAACCCGACCATCTTCCTCATTCAAAATGCCACATACTCTCTGTAAGTCTATAAAAAATGCAAGGGGCGTCTTACTACGAGACGAGACGAAACGAAACGCCACATGCTTTCTATATATTAACGAGTGAAATGACCCCGACTCATGGCCAAACAATTCATCTCTACTATTTTCTGATCGGAGGACATTGGACCTCTTCGTCCAATCGGGTGAGACGAATGATGTGTTGTGAATGATGGGTGGGGGAGAACAACATTCACTGGCGGATCTGGGGGGGGGGCTCAATTCAGTGGCCTTGAATGACCCCTCGAAGGTCATGGAAGTTATTTTAAAAACTCTGGGCCTGTAAAACTACGTATTAACTTGTTATCTTTCGTGGGGACACTAGTAAAGAGAGACATCATTTGAGGTGGTATCAAGATCGACATAGTACTTGGTCAAAAGAAATCATGGCAATGCACACGATTCAATGCAATGCACACGATTCATTTTTCTTGGTTTACCTCTCACAACCGATTTTCCGACATCCATCCTTGTAATCCTCTTCATTCACTCTCTAATAAAAGTGATGTTAAATGTCTGCTATTTTGAAGTTAAAAATAGTATCAAACGGCGATCTGTCAGTTAGATTACTTAGGGAATGTATGTATGTATATATTTATTGCCCTTTATATAAAGGAGATACATGTATACAAATTATGTAAATGTTAAATTGAAAATAATCACTATTTACAAACAAACAATATTGCTGTTTTTGACTGACGACGATGCCTAGCTACCGCGTAGACGCACGTCGCCGACCAAAATTGGCCTAGCACCTAATTGTAACGCAATTATAAAAAAATGACTATATTTTACAAACATTCATTGTTTTGTTGTTGTTTTTTTTTTATACTGACGACGACGCCTAGCTACCGCGTAGACGCACGCCGTAGGCCTAGATAGACCTGTTACCTAACACTCTTGAGATAAATAATGACATTATGGATCTGCATTTTCTATAAAGATAAAAAGGAAGACATAGCATATCATCATACCTTCCCCAAGGTCGGTACTGCAGTACTGTCTGAAAGTATGAGATGCTTTCAATATCTTGTAAGCTAGTAAAAGAAATATACAATTTTTGTAAATTGAAGAAAGGTGGTGTTGCCCTATGGTGCAATTCTAAATTAGTGTGTATAGTAAGTGTACATAAATATAAATACAAATATGCGAGTAAAACTAAAATGTATTTATAGCTGCTTAAGAGATACAATCGTTTGTTGCAAATACGTCAGGCTGCCGCGTTGACGTTGCAACTACCAATCAAGAAAAAACAAACATAAAGCATTGCTCATTATTGTACCTTCCCCAAGGTCGGTACACTCAGAATAAATACTTATTGCATATTACCCCCTGGTCAGCCCATGTTCCTCCCTTGAGGGCCACCCTTTCACGCTGATAAAGTTACATTAAGTTTGTAAACTTGTCAAGTACCGTTGACGACACAAATATTGTTGCATAACTATATATGCCATATCTTTTAAAAATACAAGTAGTTGTTCGTTTGTAAAGTGCAACTCTTCAATTCCTATGCCAAGAATGTTTTTAGTGTTCATTTGGATACCCCATTCGCAGCAATGATTGCTAAGTTGTTCTCTATAAATAATATATATATTTGCTGGGCATTTAAGTAAGAAATGATCTACGTCTTCTTTTTCATAAGTGCTGCACATTGAGCATATAACTGATTTATCTTCGGAACCTCTATATTTTGATCTAAGCGCATGTTCATCTGCTAGCAGTTTCACCATTATTTTACAACTACTTAAAGCAAAAGGGAACAGTCTTGCAACTCTCCACCATATGATTGGCCTCAGAATTTCAAAGTTACCCATTCTAAAATAGTTTAGGCCCTTGTACATTAGCGATTGGAAAAATGTCCTTTGCATCTGAACGGCTGCGATTTGTCTATACACAATATTCTTCCACCTATTTTTGGGGATGAACATTTTACAGTCTACCATATTTAGAACATGGTTATATAAATCGTACCTTTTTGATGTCAGTAACATGCATTTTATTGGAGAGAAGGTATTACATTCATTGTTAACATGCAGCATTTTTACAAATCTCATTGTGAAAAGACATTTATATATATTTGCGCTCGGGAGTTGCAATAAACTCCAGAGAAACATCATTCTTAAAAAGTCAATATAAAATTCAACGTCCATTAGGCCCAAGGGCAAAGTTGACATGGGAATACTAGCTGAGGGAGGCAGAGATTGAATTCTCCGTCCTATTTCTCGTTGTGTCTTTTCTAGAACAACTATATCATTCTGTTGATAGTTGATAATATGGGCACCGTATGTCATTGTAGGTATGGAGTACGTTTTGTATATTTGACATGCAGATGTTGGGATTAGGCCTCCGCAGCCACTACCTATACCGAGCAGAGCAGTGTACTGCGATTTGCCCTTCTTACATTTATCCTGTACATAATCAGAAATATCATTATTTGTTGAAATTGGGATTCCGACATGCTTCACATAGTCAGATTTTGCAATTGATTTACCTCCGATATTAAGTTTCTGAGTTGCACCTAGCTCGATTTTACTATTAAAAACGAGAAACGAACACTTATCGGGATGAACTTCATATCTCCACTGATTACTATGAGCATGGAGTAGATCAAGTAGCACTTGCATGTTTTCAAAGGAATTCGACAAGATGCACATGTCATCGGCATATGAAGGACTAACGCAACTTAACGAACCTATGGTTGATCCCTTGTTTAGCTTAATCATGGAGTCAATTATATCTGCCATATAAAGTTGGTAAAATAGCATGGACAGGACACCGCCTTGATGGACACCCTGTAATATTGGAAATAAGTCAGAGCATTTTCCGCCTACTAAAACCGAGCAACTATACCGCTTATAAAGCATATACAAAATTTTCCATATCTTACCGCCAATACCGCGAATCTGTATATCGGTACTGATAACTGGACGAGAATCGGGTTAGAGGAGAGAGGTATATCAGATCCCAGAATAATAAGTATGTTATTTTCAGGGACTAGTGCACCACTCTCAGTCTCAATATGATTGACGATATAATTAAGGAACAGTCTCAGTTGATCGTAGACTAGTGATATTTTCAGGGACTAATGCACCACCCTCAGTTTCAATTGATGAGACTAGTGCGTTACTATCAGTCTCAGTTTGACCTCCATTCTCAATTGATCATAGTGATATTTTCAGGGACTAGTACTCCATCCTCAATTGATCATTGTGATATTTTCAGGCACTAGTACTTCATTTGCAATTGATCATAGCGATATTTTCAGGAACTAGTACTCCATCATCAATTGATCATAGTGATATTTTCAGGGACTAGTACTCCATTCTCAATTGATCATATTGATATTTTCAGGGACTAGTACTTCATTTTCAATTGATTATAGTGATATATTCAGGGACTAGTACTCCATACTCAATTGATCATAGCGATATTTTCAGGGACTAGTACTCCATTCTCAATTGATCATAGTGATATTTTCAGGGACTAGTACTCCATCCTCAATTGATCATAGTGATATTTTCAGGCACTAGTACTTCATTTTCAATTGATCATAGCGATATTTTCAGGGACTAGTACTCCATCCTCAATTGATCATGGTGATATTTTCAGGGACTAGTACTCCATCCTCAATTGATCATGGTGATATTTTCAGGGACTAGTACTCCATCCTCAATTGATCATAGTGATATTTTCAGGGACTAGTACTCTATCCTCAATTGACCATAGTGATATTTTCAGGGACTAGTACTCCATTCTCAATTTATCATAGTGATTTTTTCAGGGACTAGTACTCCATTCTTAATTGATCATAGTGATATATTCAGGGAGTAATACTCCATTCTCAATTGATCATAGTGATATTTTCAGGGACTAGTACTTCATTCTCAATTGATCATATTGATATTTTCAGGGACTAGTACTCCATTCTCAAATGATCATAGTGATATTTTCAGGGACTAGTACTCCATTCTCATTCTCCATAATGATATTTTTATTTATCGTAGATACATTTCAGGGACTAGTGTTCAACTCTCAGTTGATCGTTGATAATTTAAGTGACGATATAATTTAAGGAACAGTCCCAGTTGATCGTATTCGTAGACTAGTGATATTTTCAGGGACTAGTGCACCACCCTCAGTCTCAATTGATGAGACGAGTGCGTTACTATCAGTCTCAGTTTGACCTCCATTCTCAATTGATCATCGTGATATTTTCAGGGACTAGTACTCCATCCTCAATTGAAATAGTAGTGATATTTTCAGGCACTAGTACTTCATTTTCAATTGATCATAGCGATATTTTCAGGGACTAGTACTCCATCCTCAATTGATCATGGTGATATTTTCAGGGACTAGTACTCCATTCTCAATTGATCCTAGTGATATTTTCAGGGACTAGTACTCCATTCTCAATTGATCCTAGTGATATTTTCAGGGACTAGTACTCTATCCTCAATTGACCATAGTGATATTTTCAGGGACTAGTACTCCATTCTCAATTTATCATAGTGATATTTTCAGGGACTAGTACTCCATTCTTAATTGATCATAGTGATATTTTCATGGACTAGTACTCCATTCTCATTCTCCATCATGATATTTTTATTTATCGTAGATACATTTCAGGGACTAGTGCTCAACTCTCAGTTGATCGTTGATATATTTTCAGAGAAAGACTCAGTTGATCAAAGTGATGTTTTAGGGACAGTCTCAGTTTATCGTAGATATATTTTCAGGAACTATTGCTTTACTCTCAGACTCAGTTGATCGCTGTGATATCGAATTATTGGTTTAATAAAAAAGAACGCATGCAGTGCATTGACAACACGATTGATGTGATTGACATTTGTGAATGAATCAACAGTTTTAAGTCTCTCGTTATTGGGTCCCTACCCCCGGACAATTCCCAAAAAATATTGATCGTTATCATTGTCGATACCACCTAATAACAACAAAAATATTCCTAGTAACAAGAGAAAAAACTAGACGTATAAATAAAATGATTAGATTTTATGATAGTGTTCATTGAGTAGTCCGTGAACATGTGGATGCATTCTATGATGGGCCTGGCGTTTGACAAATTTGCGAATCGACGGACTACGCGGATTTTGACGTTGTTAAAGATACCAACAGATTCATTGTTTTTCTCATGCACAATTTGAACATATGAATAAACACTCTTGATTTTAATATCGTCTACATCTTTTCTTTCAACCTAGGCCAGAGTAATTAATTAGCGTCTAATAGACTTTAGAAAGTCTAATAAGTCGAGGGGTTCCTAGGGGACACAGAGGATATCAAAAACATCACTATACAGAAAACAGCAAAAAGTGATAATATGGTGTTAATTGATTTTACCATGGTGTTCGAGACTACATAAACCATCAGAACAGATGGCTCTTGTTTCTTACCATTCTTTACAACATTTAGTCTCTAATATTGGGATAATATTATACAACAAAACAATATAAAGATTGGTGTGCATATGAAGTGGTCTATTGGTAATTACTACAATGTTGTGCCGTGTACACATACTAATATTAATTATTCATTATTGGTGCATTGCAAGTATCAAGCCGTGCAAATATGGTCTAACTGCACATATTATTTAGCATGAGCATTGAGCAATATTGATCAAATGTTGTCTTCTCATTCTTAGATTGTGGAATCGTGATTTAAGAATAAACACTCTCTGTAAAATCCCCATTATCAATTCATGTCAAAGGTTGTGTATGAAAGACGTGCAGCGTATACACAGAGCACAGTTCAGCCGGTATAAGTAATGTCAAATCGAGTAGTTAGTAGAGAAGTAGTTCTAACCCACTGTGTTTGATCATTTAAACACATTGAAGTTCCTTTCTGATTGCATATTTAGCTTTGTAAAAATAGAAATAGGATGAGTATAATTGACTCCTGGAGCAACAAATTAGAAGTTAATATGAACCATGTTCATGGTAAACACAAATAAAGGTTTGAGTAACAGATATCGCGTCTTATTGACCAAGTTTGGTCTGGTGAAAAATACGTGCATTATAATTGTCAAAATATAAATATCTTACTTCATTTGTTTTACTATAGTGCTTTTTCCAGATTCACCGGCTCCTGCAGAAAAAATAGATAAACATTACATATTCAGTAATATTAAGGTTTTTCACTACCATAATACACAAAACACTATCATCACCAAATGTAGAATAATATTTACACTGTAATGGTTCACTTGAATAAAGATCTGGATCAACAGGAGTTTTGTGCTTGAGAATTCTCTGCTAGGCTTTAATTTACCATACGAGAGAGCTATTTTTAACCAATATCGGTTCTAAACTAAGATGGCGTCTCGTTTTAACATTAGATTGAAGCGGCCATGTTGGGTAATTAACTATGCATCTATGGCTTACCAAGTAGCAATAATTTTATGTCCTTTTGTGCTTGTATTCCATCTTCCTTTAAGTTCTTTTCAATTTGTTTACTCCTTTCTAAGGCAGACCGCTCTTCTTGGCTCAGTGTGCAGCCCATTTTATTCCCCATAGGTATTACCGCAGAACCAGGAATTACACACTGGCAACCGAGCAAGATCTTTCCTACAGATCTCCCGGTCCCGAGCCCACAATATATCCAATGTAATCCTTCCTATTTCTCCAACATAAAGCCGTTTTTCGGCAGACTGCCTGCTCCGGTATGTGGTTAAATGAGCTAAAATAACGGAGTTCTTCACCAGGGCGGCCCCAAGATCAATATATGCAATCAGAACGAGGCTATGGCCTGTAAGACTCGCAGAATCATTATAAATTTTCCGACTCAAGTAATCGATAATCACTGGATATCACAGTGGCGGACAGACTTTCAGATCATGCACACACAACCTTTAAATTTTCTCTGAGATTGTACCATAGGATGGGATACCGTTTACATAAAAAACTGATTTTGGCCAGGCTGTGTGCATGGAAAGGCAGCTGGTTACAATTTATGCCATTCAAGAACTGAACAATTTTGCGAGAAGCGAGGTAATTAGAAACAAAAGGGACGCAAGTGCCATCTAATCAATATCCACTGATCGAAAGCTATAATAGAACAGATGGTCGAATATGATTCTTTACTGCTTTTGAAGTTATGTTTATGCCATCTATGAAAGGTTGAACAGCATAAAGTCATTCACTTTAGTAGTATTCCCAGTAATGACAGACATGATACTATGTCAGTATCTTGTCTACATAAATAGATCTCATTTCTCATATTATATTTAATTCTATACACATGATACAATGTATAGTTTCTCAGGTATCCATACGGTTTGAAGAATGTGAAGTGCAAAATGTATATTTTAGTAAAAGTAAAAGTTTTTTTAGTCACACATTTTTTCTTGTTTTATTATTGGGAATGTTGCGCTGAGATATGTTCAGAATGCACTAAAGAGGGTCTTTTGAAAAATTTCTGGGGGGGCGATCCCCTAGATCACGCACGACCCATCCATACCCAAAAGTAGATGATAGGGCCGGGGTTTACGAAAAGACCGACCCCACCGACCACCGACCGGTCGGTGTTTTCCACTGGTAGCCTCAAAACTTTAACAGGGTTTGAAGAAAATGTGTAAAAGACCGACCATATCATGTAAAAGACCGAACATAAGTTTGTAGCCTTAAATTATTAATAATTTGATTTTGAATGTCAATCGTTGGACTAGGCAACGTTTTACCGATTTTGTACCTTGCAACGAATGGCAAGCAAACAAATTGGGCATGACCGTCTCCTCTCGATTTGTCTATGGCGGATCCGGGGGGGGGGGCCCAAACAATATATGTCAACATATTGCATTTTGGAGCGATGTGCAGGTTTAACAATTTCGAAACAAAAATGATTTATTATCGTCATAGCCTACTGTATACTGAACACGATATAATGCTACATGCGTTCTCTTATCGGGATTAAAAGTGACTTACCATTTCAGTACACCATTAGAAAGCTTTTTTTGTCATATCAAATGTAGTTTTTACCAGTTGACGTTTAACAACTGAGAAATCAAACATAACGTTACGACGTCAACATCGACGATGTTTGTGTGTTTTTGTTATTGCGTTTCATATGAATGAACTGAATGCAATGTTACGTGCGTTTTTTTCCAAAGTGAACAACTAGGATCAAATTGGTCTTCTAACAACTGAAACATCACTTAAAAATATGACATTACAAACCACGACGATGTAACGTTTTCATCGTGATTTGAAATGATTAATTAAACGTTTTTAAATCACGACCTAGTAAAAGTACTATAGTCATTGGATTCCCAATTTTAGTTTTACTTCTAATTTTGCATTTTTTCATCTTTATGTAAAAGACCGTCAGCCGACCACCGACCACATGTACCCAACTGTGGAGAGTGACTGGTCGGTGGTCGGCGGTCGGTGTTTTTCGAAAACCCGCTATTTTGTTGGGAAATAACCGTATATCCATCATAAAACAGTTGAGTGACACCGAAGGAAGATACACCATCATTCAAATACAAAGTAAGGGTAAAAACTACATACGTATATGCTCCAAATGATGAAAATGTGAGGAAAGAGTTTTTCGACCATGTATCAGCAATTATAACAACAGATTCTAGGGGGAGATTTTAATGTTACTGTATGGATAACAGATTAGACAGATATACAAAAAATGTCGAACATATTCAATAATGATGCATCTCGTGGGGCGCTGCTTTATTTAGTTAAATTTTATGACCTCATTGAGTTCAAAATTAAGCTAGAAGCTTCAAATAAAAAGCATTTTAAGGCCCTTTTCTTCCTCTATCATCATGGTCATATTTTCATTGGTTATGGGGGGGGGTGCGATCGCACCATCTTACAATGGCATAGGCGTAGCCAGGAGGGGGATCGATGGTGCGATCGCACCCCTCCCCCAAAACCAATGAAAATATGACCATGATGATAGAGGAAGAAAAGGGCCTTAAAATGGTTTTTATTTTAAGCGTCTAGCTCAATTTTGAAGGAAGTTACATACATTTTTGTAAATTCAAAACAAATCTTACACGTTTTCTAATGATCTATGATGTTTGGCCTACATGTATATATTCGTATTTTTCGTTTTTTGGGTACCCGTTTTTTTCGACCAGGTACGGGTAACGAAGTTTGAACCCAGCATGGAGGATTCACTACCCGGTTACGTACCCGGTACCCGTTTTTTCTACAAACCCGAAAAAGCATGTAAAATTTGTCGAGACTGGGGCCTTTTGTCAAATCGGAATCAGTTTTTCTACAAAATTTACATGGAGGCATGAGAACCCCACAAAAATTCAATTAAATGAATCTTATGCAAACGATGACATGCGAAATTCTGTTTCCAAAAGTAGGTTAGATATGTGGTTCATTAAAAGGAATATCAATGGGTAACAGTAGCCTCTGTGAGATAGCTCCATCGGTTAAGTCTGATCACAAATGTGTATTACTAGACACTATGTCAAATGTAAATAGTAAACGAGGCCCTGGCTTTTGGAAAATTAATAATAAACTGATTGAGAATGAAGAATATCAAAATATTATCAGGATATTGGTGAAAAATGTTAAAACAGAATATAATGACCTTGATAACATCCAAATGTGGGAATTTCTAAAATACAAAGTTAAAGTTCGAACTATTGAGTTTTCCAAGCAAAAGGCCAGGGCACTTAGGGCGCAAGAGATAGAGCTTATTAAATCATTAGAGAATCTAGACAGTGAGCTGGTAAACGGAAATGATCTCAATGCAAATAACTGTAGGAAATACGATGAAGCAAAATCAAAGCTAAATGACATTTATCAGTAAAAAACTGAAGGGGCCATTCAGCGCTCAAGGGCTGAATGGGTTGAAAAGGGGGAGAAAAGTACTCAATATTTTTTCAATTTGGAAAAATCTGACCATAACTCAAAAAACACATTACAAGACTTATTGTTGATGGAGCTATTGTTACGGATGAGATTGAAATTCTTGATCAAATAAAAGCACTTTATGAAGAACTTTATTCATCGAAATCATTAAAAGATTGTGAGAAATATAGACGTTTTGATGAAGGAATGCAAATAGATAAATTATATAATAATGAACGATTATCATGTGAGGGAACCTTAACAACTGATGAATGTTTTAAAGCCTTAAAGAGATTTAAAAATGGAAAAACACCCGAAAGTGACGGTCTTAGCTCCGAATGGTACTTAAGCACTTTTGGGTTGATATTAAAGAATCCGTAGTTAACTCATTCAATTTTGCATTTGAAAAGGGTATTCTTTCCATGAGCCAAAGACAAGGTGTTATAGCCCTGATACCGAAGGGAGAAAAAGATTCAGAATATTTAAAAAATTGGCGACCAATTACTTTGCTAAATATTAATTATAAAATTGCATCCAAATCAATAGCACAGAGAATAAATGCTGTTCTAGGTAAAATTATTGGTTCGGATCAAACTGCTTTTAATGAATAAGAAACGAGAATTTCAAAATAAAATAGCTCGTTAAAAATAAGGCCCGTAGGGCACTTTTCTCCAAGGGGGTGCGGTTTTTACTAAAAAAGAATATAAAATTGTAATTTTTTTGCTGCGTACATCAAATCGCATAAGTCAGAGGGGGAGGAGTGGTTACTCCCTATATTGGGGCCACTCAGCCTATTTGTAGTATTTTATTGTTTTCGTATTGTTTTAGACTAAATATTGTATGAGCATTTTGTAGAAACACTGGAATAGGGGGAGGGGGTGCTAGAAGGGCATAAATGTTTACTCAATAACTTTTACCAATTCAAGATCACATTCAGTGATTTCCGGACACATTCAAGGTGTTTTAATCAATAGAATCAATTTAAAGAATTTCAGATTTTACTAATTCAAGATGCTGTCTGGTTAATTCTGACCACTTTTAATGGGTTTGAGTACATGAATGCTTTAGTTTTTGGGGTGGAGTGCCAGAAAATGTTATGATTTCAATATGTCACTTGGTGATTTCTGGGCACTTTAAAGTACTTATAGTAAAATTAATTGTATGGGGTGTAAGGAGTGGCCCACTCCCCGTAGAAAATTTTACACTTTTGAGATGGTATTTGGTGCTTTCTGGGCTCTTTCAAAGTGTATGAGTCAATAAAAAAAATGTGATTTTTTTCAAATTATTTTGGGAGTGTCAAAGAGGATGAGAGGGTGAAGTGGGATGGGAGTTGTCCCCCAGAATCATTGACCATATCAATGTGCTATTTGGTGATGTCTGATGAATGTCTTGAGGGTGCCAGAGGGGGAGCAAGTGTTTGTTCCCCATATCTGTCCCCCAGAAATATTGACCATATCAAGGTGCTATTTGATGAAGTCCAGGCACTTTAAAAGTGTCTGAGACAATACATGAAATAAATTCAGAATTATTTTTGTCAATTGGTTTGTGGGGGATGTGAGGGCTGGCCTACTTTCCTAGAAAATTTTACAATCTTAAGATGCTATTTGGTGCTTTCTAGGCACTTTCAAAGTGTATGACTCAATAAAAAATTTGAAAAAAAATCACAATTCTTTTTCAATTTTTTGAGTTTTGAGGGTTGTCAAAGGGGGGGGGGGGGGTGCCATAGGGGGGAGGGTGCCAGAGCGGGAGGTGGGGTGGGAATGCCAGAGGCAATACAGACAATACACGAAATTTAGAATTATTTCAATTGTTTTGTGGGAGATGTGAGGGGTGGCCATGCAACTCTCCTAGAAAATTTTACAATTTTATTATGCTATTTGGTGCTTCTGGGCACTTTCAAAGTGTATGAAACAATAAAAAATATGAAAAAAACATTTCAGTTTGGGGGGGTGTAAAGGGGGGGGGGGGGTGCCAGAGGGTGAGTAAGTGTAATTCTCCCAGAATCATTGACTAGTATATCAAGGTGCTATTTGATGATGTCTGGGCACTTTAAAAGTGACTGAGACAATACACGAATATTCAGAATTATTTCAATTATTTTGTGGGGGATGTGAGGGATGGCCAACTCTCCTAGAAAATTCTACAATTTTGATATGCTATTTGGTGCTTTCTGCTGGGCACTTTCAAAGTGTATGACTCAATAAAAAATATGAAAAAATCCGATTTTTTCAATAAGGGGGTGTAAAGGGGGGGGGGGTGCCAGAGGGGGAGGTGGGGTGGGAATGCCAGAGGGCGAGTAAGTCATCTCAAAGGGGCCAGGAATTTGGGCGATAGAGTAGGCCTAAGTCCCGGGGCCTAAGTACATACTGTATCTTTCAAAACAATACGTCGCATTTTAACGAGTTATGTCTGCGTTTGGATTTTTTCTGGAAAGAATACCACGTTCGTAAATTTCGCCGTTTGTTGTTCGTTCGTTTAATTGACGTAGGACCTTATTATCGCCCAAATTCATGTTTTGCAACAAAATTTACAAAACATTGAATTATACCAAACTGCTCCGATTGGAAACGTACATCAAAATATGTGTAGTATCCAGGAAGATGATCAATTCAGATTGGAGTCGAAGTCGGAGCTAAAGTACGTGCAATTTCTCTTTCTTGGACATCTTGATTTTTTTCAGTGTTATAAAGTGGGGAACAACAAGAAAATGCAGCAAACTCCTCGAGTCGAGGTCTCCAAGTCAAAAAAATGCCTGACCCTCTCATATATCTGTTGATTATCCCTGTTTATAACTGATTCAAGAGCGTGGCACTGAACGAACCTATATGCCTATTTGTTATTTGTTTAGTTGTTGGTTGGGTAACATGTTAATGACGTCACAAATGATGCGAAGAATCTTTAAACCAATCAGTGAAGTCTATATTAATTGTTTGTTTAGTTGTTGATGTGGCAAGACGTGTCTGACGTCACGGGTGATTGCATCATATTCCAGTCACGCCATTTTACGACATTGCATAATTTTAGCTGATTTTGGCTTCATTTCACTTTATTTAAAAGACTTTTAAAAATATATCAATGAGTCAGTATTTTTTCTTATAAATATTAATATTTGAATTTGAGGTCAAAGTCCGAAAATTTGATAAACTGATTGAAATCACATTTTAAAGAGGTGAAGAAGTGAATAATTACAGGAGCAAACGTGATCAATGGTTCGAGGTCTCCCGCAAAGTAGTCGCTACGCTCCTACTTCGCGCTGCCTTCGGCAGAGGAGACCTTGAAATAATAAACCTGGAAAAAGTGGATTGGCCAGGCTCCCAGAATGCAACATGACACATGCAAGCTTACAAAATGCCGCTCCGCCATTTTGAAACCTGTCACGAGTAAATAAGATTAACTGATGTTGCATTCTGGGAGTCAATCCTTCTTGGATTTACTTCCTACAAAAGCTATGTAGATTTTGATACAATAGCTTTCCAACGGCACACTTGGACAGCTTAGTAATAGTGACCTTTGAAATATGAATAAAGATTTCAGCGGCTTACTTTTGGTCTCTAACTGTGTCTTACGTCATTATCATCAATCCGTGCAGGTATTGGAGCTAGACTGTATCCTTCGTCTGAATAAATATTCAGACTGTAAGTCACCTATTGTAAAATGTGGTGTTGTATAAATGTTACAAATAAGTTTGTTTAATGATAAAATGATTACCTTATAAAGAACTTACAATATTATTTTTTCGTATATTGTCCTCTTACTGAAGATATTCATAAAATGTACAGACGCTTCTTGTAGCGAAGCCATTGATTAGGTCAAGCCATTTTGGCAATGCCAATTCTCACGATAAACGAGATTTAGCCAGTGACGTCAGTCTATTTGTAAACAAATAACACGTGGAGCGGATGGAGCAACATTACGGAAGCATATTGATAAATTCCATTTGTGCGGGAATTTATTAGATCTAGTCATTTATTATCATTATCCCGATTAATTTTCTTCATTTATAGTAAATAGAGCGGAAATATTCATGAAGAAGGCCGAGGTAATCAAGTAGTCATGTGTTGTCAAAGTTCAAAAATTTGCATATCTCGTTTGGATCTCGTGAACTCAAACGTCCTTGACATTGATTTCGCGATCTACTTATGAACACATCCTGAAGTTTTGGTGAGTCTGAACATTTCATTATTTTATATCAACTTGTACCCGCCTTATACAAATATTTTTGCTTCTAGTTTAAGATGAACATCTCTTCAACATATTCACCAATTTTCAAGGTGAACATTCTTGTAATAAACGAGAAATTTATCAATCATAACAGACCGAATATTATATTCGGTCTGTTGGATACATACTAGTATTGGAGCGCTGAGATACTTCTTTTTCGATCAAGACTTGTAAATTGTTCATTGAGTGAATGTTTTTTCGACCCATTTCCAATATGGCGGTTTGCTAGGAGCGAGATACGCAACGAACGAAATGAATTTTGAGAATTATTAGAGTAGATTTCATGGCCTGACTTCGTCGATAGAACTTGAAAAATAAGACTTATCTGAAGATTAGGAGTCTTACTTACTCTCTAGAGGTTAGAACACACATTTTAATGAAACCATATCAGCTATGTTTTGTTCATTATGAAGCATAAGCACAGAACTTGATTGAAATTTGTGTTAATGCTTTTTGGACTTTTCCATTTTCCTCGTGTTTACTTCCGAGATGGCTTTGCCTCTATCACGAAATACTGTATTGACCTTGAACTTTAATTTTGTGACATATCATCCAGCCATGTCTGATGTAAAAATAATTAAAATATTTGAAAATAATGTTTTGTGGTCTCTTCTGCAGACGAGTTTAGGACAGGGCAGAGGAGGATGGCCTGTTCTAAGATAGAAAAAGTGCATGATCTACAGTTGAACTATTGGTCTGAATGAAATGCTGCGCGGAAAGTATGAATGGGTCATCAGCTGTATTAGTCTATTAATATTCTAGGACCTGTTTGTGATGCTTATAATTTAGACCAAAGTGTAGACGAATACACGCACGTGTAAATTATAAAATCAACGAACAAAGATTCAATTTTCACAAATTTTCGGTAATTTATCGTATTGAAACTTCCGAAACTTACTACGAAATCATTCATTTTCATGATCCATAATTTACCTCTTGGATATTGCGCTAAATGCTCTATAGTTGCCGCAACAAAGGTGATAGAGTTTCATTAAAATGTGTGTTCTAACCTCTAGAGGATAAGTAAGACTCCTAATCTTCAGGTAAATCTTATTTTTCAAGTTCTACCGACGAAGTCAGGCCATGAAATCTACTCTAGGTTTGGACTACCTCCGGAGATTCACGGAAATGTCCGAGCAGAAAACGCCATATTGGAATTTGGCAGTAAAAACATTCACTTGACTAACAATTACAAGTCTTGATCGAAAAAGAAGTACTTCAGCGCTCCAATACTTGCACGGGAGGATGATAATGATGTATAACATAGTTAGAGAACAAAAGTAGGCAGCTGATCGCCTTAATTCGTGTTTTAAAGGTCACTATTATTCAGCTGTCCATTTCCCCGTTTGAGAGCCATAAGTTTCAAAATCTAACATGGCTCTCGAAGTGAGTAACCTTGGATCACAGACATGGCGATTCATGAAAACATTTGTTCGATTTGGAAGGAAGTTATCCATCATTTGCAGGTATGAAGCTTTGGATTCATTTATTGTGCTACTTAAAGTGAATGGGAATTATTTTTCTACCGTTTGGGAGAGTTTGAGACACGCAACTTAGAATTTAGCTCATTGTGACGACTTTTGATGGTTGAGGTTTATAATGTCTCCGACTTGGGAGACATTAATAAACCTCAACCATCAAAAGTTGTCACAATAGACGGAGAAAATAGAGCACCCAATTCACTGAGGTAAGAATTTATGACATATGTGACAGGATGTCTTTTTCATAGTGTTAGTAATTATTTATGTTCACCACTGTAAACATGTCTCTGGTCAGTTTAACTTCCTATAGTGCTGATACAAAATAATAAAGGGTGAGTTTTCATACTAAACAGAGTGCTCCTACCGGAATGGATTTGCCTATATACCCCTGAGACTCTTATCTGATAGATAAAAAAGTACATATAATTTCATTTTGTTTCATTGAGTTTGTGTTTCAATGTAACTTACGTAAAAACATAAAAAATCAACCTGAGATTTTAGAGATTTTTTGCCTATAATAGCAAAAGTTTTGCCTTATTTGTGCATTTTGTGCTTGAGATAAGAGTAACAGGGGTATTTAGGCAAATACATTTTGGAACGAGTCTCTACTTTGAAAACCCATCATTCATTTATATTGGCGTTCACTGTAGCAATATTCTGTTGTACATGTAGATCGAACTTCAATTTTTGAGGAATTGAGTTTTTCCATTTTACATAAAGGCAACCTCCCATAATTGTGGGGCTGATTTTTCAAACTACTTGAGTATTAAAATCTTGTGTTTGAAAATAAGCTGGATAAGTCACACTACCCTACCTCGATCGCGCATGCGCGAATTTTTGGGCTTTCAACCAGGTCGCTTTTGAGTATATCGACTGCTTAGTCAAAACGTTAATACGTTTGGTGCTCGGAATGAGTCAATATTGCTATTCGCTGAACTTCAGTGGTGCAACAGTGAAGTCCATGTTCCAAGTTATATGATAGTTGAAGAAAGAATGTAAATAATATCGTTTTAAATTTTAAAATATTTGATATGTCATAGTACACGGTACACAGTTGCAAAAATTGATCAATACAGGCTACAAGGAATGTAAATTGTTCAATGGTACAGGGAGCAAGAAAGTAAGCTGATTATACAGACATACTATGTCCCGATCTCATGTACATTTACGTTGCAAACTGATAAATGACTATCCGCTATCAGTATTAATGACTATCCGGTATTCAGAATAATTAAAATTGCCTGAACTACATGTGAAGAATCTTTCTATATAACCCCTTGAATGGTCTAATTCACTACAGTCCTCAAAAACCGACCATTTAAAATATTTTGTTCAAAATACTATCATGCCACGACTTGAGAGCCTTTTGTTCTTCACGATTTGCTGGTACGACTTTTTATGCATCTTAAGATTTTAGAAAAACAATTAATTCACAAATATACAGTTGAATAACATACTAGAAAACGTATCCACATATAACACGATGACACGCAGTTTAAATAACAGTTAACTGTTTTTTTTTTGTTACATATCAATGTAACATTTTCGAAGGGAAACTTACATGCTCCCTGTACGTTGATAGATTTACTGAAATGTAGCGTGTATTGCATTCGAGTTTTGCTTCACTGCACCCACTATTATCTATCTTTGCCTATAGTGTTTTTTTGCCAACAATATTCTACAAACTGCTTGATGAATTAATTCTATGTCTGGTAGAACACTAGAAATAAATGTAAAATGTATTTTACGTTCAGAAATATGGAATTAAACCCACGTCCTCCATTTGCAACTTAGCTGTACCCTGTATCCCTTTTGAACGTGGTCACGTGGTAGGGTAGTGTGATAAGTGGTTATTTAGAAAAAATTCAAATTTTTTTGTCAACTTCTAATAACGTCTTTCGGCTCCAAGATTTCTTTACACAAGTAGTTGTGGGGGTGATTTGAAAAGACTTGCAATGGTGTGTTGAAATAAGACCAGCCTATAAGTTGTGAAAAGCAACAAACTAAAATTGAAACATCGCAATGTTCGGAAAATTGGCAAATAGAACCATTGAACTTTCTTATTTTAGTACTGGCAGAGTGTGTATGAAATGTCAGAACTTGGCAGTTGTCGTCATCAGGGTGAACGATGCATTTTGCAGGTACGTACAAACATTAACCTTTTCTAGTTAAACTGTATAGTACTACACATATAAGATCTTGTAATTTGTCTGAAGAGACCTATCATGTTTCTTTTTGATCCAATGTTCGCATTCTTCACAAACAGGCTTTAGACTTAGTGCCATTTGTGTAATAAATTGACGAGTTAGTTAAAAAATTCAATAATAAATGAAATCCCATCTGCTTTATTTCTAGAGAATGTTTCCTGAAGTATTGCACACATAAATTCCGCTCAGCATTTGGAAAGTCAAAATTGATCCGCGATGGTGATGCTGTCCTTGTGGCGGTCTCTGGTGGTCAGGCTACAACTGCCCTCGTTCATCTTATACAGGAGGTAAGGTTTTTCCAACAGCTCTCCTTATATTATAAAGGAGGTAAGGATTTCCCAAGATATCTTCATAGTCTTTCTATCAACCATTTTGTTCTGTCAATCATATGATAACAAGTATACTTAATTCACAGGCTCAGGGTTCAGGGGGTTCAAGCGAACCTCCCCTTGGCCAAAAATTCTTTCAAAATCATACAGTTTTTTAGCATTCTGAGCACTTTTCAAGTAATTTTGGGCCAAAGTTGTCAACAAATGTGAACCCCCTTGAAATTTTGGAAAAGTAAACCCCTTGACAAAAGCTGTCTATGGGCCTGATGCGCATATCCAGGGCCGTCAGATGGGGGGGGTGCGATGGGTGCGACCGCACCCCCCTTTGACACCCCCCAAAAAAAATTTGAAAAAAAAAAAAAATTTGAAATTTTTTTTTTCATTGACTCATACCACTTTGAAAATGCCCAGAAAGCACCAAATAACATCTCAAAATTGTAAAATCTTCTGGGGGGGGGATTGGGCCACCCCTCACACCCCCCACAAAACAATGGAAAAGTTCTGAATTTATCTTATGTATAGTCCTAGACACTTTTAAAGTGCCCTGACATCATCAAATAGCTCCTTGATATAGTTAATGATTTTTGGAGACTAACACTTACTCGCCCTCTGGCATCCCTACCCCACCTCGCTCTATGGCACCCCCCCTCCCCTTTAAACCCCAAAAATCCAAAATTGAAAAAAATTGTGATTTTTTCGTATTTTTTGTTGAGTCATATACTTTGAAAGTGCCTAGAAAGCACCAAATAGCATACTGAAATTGTAAAATTTTCTTGGAGAGTTGGCCACCCCTCACATCCCCCACAAAACAATTGAAATAATTCTGAATTTAGTGTATGGCATCCCCACACCACCTCCCCCTCTGGCACCCCCCCCCCCCTTGACACCCCTCCAAATAATGGAAAAAATTGTGATTTTCTTCAATGTTTTAATTGATTCATACACTTTGAAAGTATCCAGAGAGCACCAAATAGTGTCTTAAAATTATAAAATTTTCTAGGGGGAGTTGGCCACCCCTCATACCCTAAACAAAAAAATTGAAAAGTTCCGAATTTATTTTATATATTGTCTCAGACACTTTTAAAGTGCCCTGACATCATCAAATAGCTCCTTGATATAGTCAATGATTCTTGGAGACTAACACTTACTCGCCCTCTGGCATCCCCACCCCACCTCACTCTCTGGCACCCCCCCCCCTTTAAACCCCCCCCCCCAAATTGAAAAAAAATTGTGATTTTTTTCATATTTTTTGTTGAGTCATATACTTTGAAAGTGCCTAGAAAGCACCAAATAGCATAATAAAATTGTAAAATTTTCTAGGAGAGTTGGCCACCCCTCACATCCCCCAAAAAACAATTGAAATAATTCTGAATTTTGTGTATTGTCTCAGACACTTTTAAGTTCCCAGACATCATCAAATAGCTCCTTGATCTAGTCAATAATTTTACTCGCCCTCTGGCATCCCCACCCAACCTCCCCCTCATGCATCCCCTTTGACAACCCTCAAAAATTGAGAAAAACAATTATGTGATTTTTTTTCAAATTTTTATTGACTCATACATTTTAAAAATGCTCAGAAGCACCAAATATCATCTTAAAATTGTAAAATTTTTTTGGAGAGTTGTCCATCCCTCAAACCCCCCAAAACACAATTGAAAAAATTCTGAATTTCACTCATACATTTTTAAAGTGCCCAGACATCATCAAATAGCACCTTGATATGGTCAATGGATCTGGGGGACAACCACTTCTGCACTTGGTCCCCCTCTGGCACCCCACACTTCACCCTCTCATCCTCTTTGCAACCCCCAAAGGAATTCCCTTTTTTTATTGACTCATACACTTTGAAAGTGCCCAGAAAGCACCAAATAGCATCTCAAAAGTGTAAAATTTTCTACGGGGAGTGGGCCACTCCTCACACCCCATACAAAACAATTGGACAGTTTGGACACTTAAACAGTCACCAAGTGGCATAGTGAAATCATAAAAATTTCTGGCACCCCACCCTAAAAAAACTAAAGCATCCATTATCATCAGAATTAATCAGACAGCATCTTGAATTGGTAGAATTTTCCTGTGCTACCCCCTTGCTCCCCTAAGAAGAAAATGATTGAAAAATCTAAATTTCTTTAAATTGATTCTATTGATTAAAACACCTTAAACTGTCCAGAAATCACTGAATGTGATCTTGAACTGGTGAAAAGTTTTGGGTAAACATTTATGCCCTTCTACCACACCTTCCCCCTATTCCAGTGTTTCTCCAAAATTGCTCATTCAATATTTAGTCTAAAAACAATAAAACACTACAAAATAGGCTCAATATAGGGGGTAACTGACCCCCCCCCTCTGAACGCGATTTGATTTACGCGGCAAAAAATTGACAATTTCATATTCTCTTTCGTAAAAACCGCACCCCCCTTGGAGAAAAGTGTCTTACGGGCCTGATATCTATTATATCTCTTAATTTGTTTGTACATTGTCAGGGCCTGAGTTGCAGAGCACAGAAGAAGCTGAGGTTTAATCCAACACTTGTTTATATTGATGGTAAGTAAAAGATGGGAAATGGGAGGTTATATCAGGTCCAGAAGTTGGGTTTCGTTTATGGACATGAATCTCAGATTTTGTAATGGCCAAGAATCTTCAATGAACAATTGTTAATCCATGGCCAAGTATCCCTGTTTAATCATTGTCAAGATTGTCCAAATTATTAATGGATCAAGAAAAATATCAATAATATAGAATTAGAATATCTGATTAACAATGGACAAGAACTGTAATTTCTGTATCTATTAATAGATGGCACTTAGTGTCATTATATGAGATTGCAAAATCCATGTTTCATTTTGTAATTCCGATTTTGTTTTTAATTATAGAGGGAGCTGTTATCAATGAAAGTAGAGAAGAGCGTTTGAAAGTTTGTTCAAAGATGGCAGCACTATTCAAAGCTACTTCTTTTCCATTCCACATTATTCCTTTTGAAAAGGTTTGTATTTTCTGTGATCTTGGAAACTGATGTTTTGTCATGTTATGTTGCAATTTTAGAAATACATGTTCAGTGTAACATACACACTTCTAAGGGTCCACCCATGTGGTAAATCAGATTCCCTATGATGTAGTTCTTATTGTTCAATTCCCAGTCCAGGCAAGACTAATATGCTTAGCTACTTTTAAAACTGTATTGTTGAATATTCATATTCTGAAAGCACTCAAATCAAACAGATTCAATGAAAAAGATGTTCAAAATTTATTTATATTATAGGTCATGAAAGAAAGTCTACGATATGACTCAGATTCGTCTTTAGCAGGGTATATGGAGAGTCTAACTTTAGAAAACTCGCTGGCCAACCAGTTAAGAGATCTTTTAGATTCCACAAGCAGTTTGACAGCAAAGGAAAACTTACAGTCAATTCTAAGGTACAATGATCATCATGTGTGTTGTGGATATATTTTTAAAAAATCCCCCAAAAGTTTTATTTGTGATGGACAATTAAGGTATAAATTCACTATACAGAGAAGGTAATATAAATGAATCATGAATTCTTGAAATTTTCCATGCAATTGGGACAAAAGGTCGGAGGTTTTTGTTCTAGTTTTGACACTTTATCTCCATTTCTCATTTGGTTTTCAAAAAATTGGTGATCTACATGTTAAAGAACACCTTTTAGTAACAATTCATTGTTTAAGCACAAGGGCCACAGGGTTTTTATTTTTAAAAAGTTTGACAAAAAGATATTTGAATTCCAGGCGCCGATTGCTCATTTCCCTCGCAGAAAAACTCTCAATTTCTAAAGTGATGACGGGTGAAACATCGACACATCTTGCCTCACAGCTTCTCTCGAGTATCTCCCAGGGCAGAGGGAAACATGTTTCAGATGAAATGGTAAACATGAATTTTTAGTGTATTACAAAACAATCCAACATTTTTATCGCACCCTTGGGTGCAATATTGTGTTCAGTTTTTTTTTTACATATGTAAATATCTTCTACTGTGATGTTTTCATCCAATAAATTATAGTAGACTATATCATCACAATTAAAAAATATTTAATGATCTTTATATTGCACCATCCTTAGACTTTTTAAGCGTCTTGATAAGTTCCAACTCACGCAAAACACCAAAATATTTATTTGCCTTTCTGGTTGTTTGTTTCCCAGATGACAGTATTTAAATGACCAAAGAAATGATTTTCGCAATATGTTTGTGTCATTTAGATTGACATTTGTTTTCTCTTGCTATATTCACTTTCAGAATTCAAATTCATCATATCGACTTGCAGAAAACTTTGCAACGTAGATTTAGCAATAGTTTTTTCCCAATATGTCACAGTATGACTCATACTTTTATTTCAATAACTTGGATGTTGTATAAAAGGAATACACATGTATATGTTTAAACGTATATTTCTATATTATACTAGTTTAGATATCATATCGTAAGAGCTGGGATGTGTTGCCTTAGTGACTCATGTCATGTGATAATATGACAGCTGTCAATCATGGGATAACTCCTCCCTTTGCATTATCCATGATAACTTCCATGTCGTCTATCCTTTGTTTATTCATGAATTCTGTTTATTTTTAAAAGGTTGTTGGCACAATTGTAAAAAATGAAGTTACTATAAAGCAGAAACATATTAAACAGTACATGAATATGTCGTGGACTTTGAAAGCCCATGACATTATCTTTATGTGGGTTGACCTTGATTATCATATATACAATAGGATAGTGACATTTGTTACTTATTTACTCTGTTATCCTATTCAAATATTCCAGGGATCTTTATAATGGTTTTGATTAATGTCGAAGTTCCAATTGTATTTTTCAACTTTAAATAGGATTTTATTATGCAGATAGAAATAATCAAAAAATATGTAATTGATCTTAGGACTGGAATGCTGTTAAGGCCTTCACCATAGATTTTGGAATTGTGTGTGAATGCAGGACATCATTGTATCTTTCAACTTTAAATTTTTATCTTTCAAACTTAATTTTTTTATTATTTCTTTCAATATATGCAGATAAAGATAATGAAAAAATGTAAAATTGATCTTAGGACTGAAACACTGGGAAAACCTTCATTGTATCATGGATTTTTGAAATTTAATTCATTTAAGGCAGAATCAGATCGATCGACTTTTCCAAAAATTGTGTGAGGAGGCAGGCTGGTTTAATTCTATACTGAAACTTGTAAGACTTAAACAGACAGCCTGAGCAAATAAAAATTGGTAACATGTTAACCTGGCATAGGATGCAAAACCATGATTGATTATATTTTAAAACATTCATCTTCAATTATTTGTTTGTGGGTGCGATCATAATGAGCAGATATAGTGTTTGGACTTAATTCAGCTGTTCCCAGACTCTGTAAATTAAATACACAAAGTAGTTTTTTATGTATGGGGTTTCACAGAATTTTAATATACTTATTCATTGTTTAGTTATGTTTCTGAGGAGGGAAGAAGGCTGAGTTGTTGAATGAATTCATTAGGCTGTCAATTTTAGAAATGATGTGTGGTTCTGGAAAATTACAGTATATAATTTTCCTAAATGTTTAAAAAAAAGTTTTTAAAAAAGTTTCATTCAATCTTCACATTTTGAACGTAGAAATGTATTATTTTTTTTAAATAGCTTATATCCCATTGATACTAGATATTTAACTAATATTTAACAAGTTTGATATCTACTGTAAAATAGGTATGTGAAAAGCTTTATTTTCAACAGCTAGAAGGATATATTTGGAGCATATATTTCATGTGTAGTGCAGAAGGTAGATGTATAACTATGATATCAAATTTTGGGTCAAAAAATTGTTTTTTTATTCATTTAGTGGTCTTCAAGTGATATTCTGGATATCAAAATGGTCATAACTCTTGTCCTTCAGAAACATAAACATATCTTCCCTCAGGATAAATCCAATATACAATCCCTCCCTAATAGTTATAACCTCCATTTATTCCCTACTACCAATAGCACTTCTTGGTAAACTCAACCCCAACATTTTCCACAAATTCAGACTGATGCAACCTCTGCAAAAGTATGACTGTGAAAGTAGACAAATACACATAGTTCATATTGTAAATTCTCCTAAATTGACTTGATGATAATATACCAATGTTTAAAAATCAGTTGTAAAAAGAGAGATCTATAGGTACCACCTTTCGGCAGTGGTCTTCTAGCAATAATTGAGAGTGTCATTTTGTGGAATACTATATTCAATATTCAAAGATTCTTGATCAATATCATATCCAGTCCCTCCTAGTAAATAACCTCTGAATATTGTGATGCAAATGTAGATGCATCTTCTATGAAATGCTACTGACAAAGAGCTTTTGTAAAGACATGTACAAGTAAATAAATGAATAAACAGCCTTACATAAATTCAGATGCATCCTGGAGCATAATCCTATTTAGAAAATATTATTTAAAAATAAACCAATATATTTATTCATTATTTATAGATAGAAATATTGAATTTAATCGTTGAAGTTAAGCATCTATTTTGCTGTCATATTGAGTAAATTGCCATGCTTGTCATGCTCCGTGCTGATTTTTAATGATGTTGAAATAGTTAATTAGTTAAGCTTACACACTTCTAAGAGGTGACAATGAATACAGGTCATGACTAGATTTAATCTGACTAACTAGAAGTCAACGTAATCTATTGACAGCCTACAAATTGAGCTTAATGGAGGAGCGAATAAATTACATAATTTGTCAAGAAAGTGCGCTAACCAATTACCCACCATATGATTGAAATTTAGCTGGCGTCAACTTTCATTATCATTAATATTAGTTTTTATGCTCACAATTTTGAGATTAAAATGTACCCCCCAAGGTGTGAGATAATGAATTGTAGAGAATTACGCCGATGTTTTGGCACTATTAATAAGCTAATGAAAACCTGGAAGGAATTGGCACGCTATGCCAGAACGACTTTTACTCTCGTGAAAACAAATCTCATATTCAAGTATTATGTTTTATGTCATGAGAGGGGAGGAGGGAGAGAAAAATTAGCTAAGGTTCAAAGGAAAGAAATAAGGAACAAAGATATGTTGAGAACTATGAACCATAAAGATATCATTTTCATCAGTGAAAACATAGGATAAAAAATGGTGGTCTGCAATTATAATTATTTGATATAATTGTGATATGCTATTCTATTTGCAATACGTTTTTAATTTATTATTTTTTCATAAATGCAGGTTTGGACGGAATTTTATTTTTTCTTTCAAATTGTTTAAGCACCGACAATAATGATCTGTTCATGACAAAATGTCTTCTTTTTATCAAATCAAAAATACTCTCGCACCTGTTAATGATCAAAATACTAATAACCATTCATTCATTTTGTAGACTTAATTATATTTTAGTTTCTAAACTTTAATGAGAAGAATTTAGAAAATTAATGAATTAACAAGTGTGAATCAGCTAAATTCTGAACAGTTGGCTCAAACTGAAAAATATGGACCCATCAGGGCATCTTTTATTATTTTGTTTTATTGAATACTTTTGTTTGAATTGCAGAAGTGTGGCTTCAGACTGATTGTTTTACACAATAAATTGACCCTTTGACTTTTTATGACCCCAACTTTCACTATAGATTCTTTAATTGGGCCACCTGTTAGTATGCCTATTTGAAGAAATTGAATTATTTCTATTTTATTTTATTATCCTTTCCATTTTTGTAAATTACTTCAAATTCTGTTTGCCTGATAATTTTGTTGAATCTCTTCATATGAACATCTTAAAAACCCTTCTATTCTAAAATAATCTTCTATTTTGCATACAACTCAGTTCAATGTAAAACAATTTGTGAGAACAGTTTATCTAATATCTAAAATCAATCCTATTTCGTATGGTTGCTAAAAGTATGAGATAATGTTTTAAAATTTAGTATGCTGTTATCCTCCAGGTTTTTATCAGGAAGTGATGTCACATAAAATACAAGGTACCATATGCAAGCTACAGAAACTTGGTCTCAAGAGCTCCTTAAAGCTATGTATACAAAACTTAAACTCCAGACTATATTTAAAACATATTTATATTTCACATTTTTTATACTGTCATATGCAAATTAGACTTGATGACATCACTTCCTGTTTGGCATTTTTAAGATGGAAGCCAAGTTGAAATAAACAATACATTTTAAATAGTCATATTTGACCTGTCCAAAAGAAATTTTTTTAAATATTTTCTCTTTGTATTAAAAGTGTATAATTGGATATAGGAACCATATCAAGACAGCAACTAAATAGGAAGGAATGTCCCTTTAAGGTGTGACATAACCAAAGATGAATACATTGACATCAGTATCTTCTTTCCCTGATGGGGAACAATTATTATTGTTATCAGAAATAATGATGGATGATTTTATAATTGAATTTTGCACCAAACATAGGTACAAGTTATATTTGCCATATCTTTGTAGGGAATATGACTTTGCATGAATTTAATCTATTTAAATATGTATTAAATTATAAGTAATTACACTGTCTCAAACCCATCTTGGATTTCTCATGTAGAATTAAGGAAGGTACATTTCTTAAGTCCAAAACTTGAGATTTAGACAGCCCTTTATGACATATTCAAGTGGTATCCTTGGGGAAGACGTCTTGTCTGTGTTTTTTTCTAGAAAATTCAGTTTTTAGTTTGTTTTCTTCATGTAAGCCCCTATAAAGTTCAATATTTATCAGACATTTTTTATGACATCATTTTTTATTTGTGTCAAATTTCTATTCTGATCTTTATTGTTTTGTTGATTTCTAAAGGCGTGGTATTATTTATGTTTTTTTGTCATAGTACAGTAATGTACAACTTATCCGTTGTTTGCATTCAGATCTTTTCTGTCACATCTTTCATTTTTCAGTTTCCAATAATAA